AGAAAGCCACAGGTAAACCCCAAGTTTGCACTCTGTGGCCTCAGAAAGGCCTGAAGTGCAGAAACAACCCCTAGCAAAGAAACTTCACACTCTCTTTTCTCCCCTTACAAAATTCTGTTTGGTTTCAAGTGAACATTTATTAAAGCAAATTCCCAAGTTTTTGCTTTGCTCTAAGGGAACAAACCAATAAATTATCCATGAAAAAGAGGCAAGAGGAATTTGAGTGAGAATATTAGTTCAAGACGTACCTTGAGAAGTAGTCATAACTCTTACAGACTATAAGGTTATATTATATGCTTAAAGGCTTCTAACACACTTTCAGAATGCAACATGCCTGTATTTTAGAAGTTTGAATTCTTAAAACAGCAACAAACTGCATCAGACTGGAGAAGTCTTGTTTTTGTAGACCTGTTTTGGTAAAACAGAACAAAGAAACTGTCCTGATGTCTAATCTAAGTACAGCCCATGACCCATGTTCCTAAATGAGGGTGTTCAAGTGCTGATCTCTGGTTTTGACCCAGACTTTGAAATTTGGTTTAGTTCTTGGTTTTTAAGGGCCATGTGGAATCCAAACCAGCAACAAGGAGATGCAAATAACTGCATCACTTCCCCTCCCCTTTTAGCATGACCATTAAGAAACAAAACCAGTACAACAATACAGCAGCAAGGAGGCAGTTATTCCTAGTTTCAGAGAGTTTAGATAGGGTGATACTAAGGATCTACAGTGACAAGTTACAGTTCTTTTCCTTGAAATTCACAGTAAACAAGGAATCAGTCTTTTAAGGATTATCTGCCCATCCCTCCACATAAGGGACTGACACAGGGAAAAGTCAAATCATCTGATGAACAAAGGACACTAACCCTTACATCCACCAAATCAGAAATTAGATTCAAGGATACAGAACTATTTCAAAATTGTTAACTGTATCTCAGAAATATTTAGTTATCTAGCTCCTGTTGTGAAAAATTGTGCATTCCTTGTTATCTCTCTATTTTATTCCTATGGATTAGCTGGAAACTAAATAAAGGAAATTAAATAAAAGATGGACACCTTAGAGCAGCCTTCTGGTACCTGAAGAGGGCCTATGAGAGACCTGGAAAGGGACATTTTACAAAGGCTTTAGTGACATGATAAGGGAATGGCTTTAAACTGGAAGAGGGAAGGTTTAGATTAAGTATCAGGGAAAAAATTCTTTACTGTGAAGATGGTGAGATGCTGGAACAGGTTGCCCAGAGCAGTTGTACATGCCCATCCTTGGAAATGTTCAAGGCCTGGTTGGATGGGGTTTTGAACAACCTGGTCAAGGTGGAGGTGTCCCTGGCCAGGAGAAGGGGTTGGAACTGGATGAGGTCCCTTCCAACACAAACCATTCTATGATTCTATGATCTGTAAGTGGAAATAGACTGGGTCCCTGGTTTGTGCAACTAAGGTGGCACCCAGATATAGAAGAAGCATTTAAAATCCAGATTTTACAGAACTGATGGTCATTGCTTTGATTAAAAAAACTTGCAGTCATATGGACAAAGTAGGCAGGCACCAGCCATGCATCTACCCTAAGAGAACAGATACTCAGGGAAGAAACTACCAGATGATTACTCAAGGAACATAATGACTTTACTAATGGCTGCAAACCTCCTCCTACCTAAACATCATCAAATAGCAGTCTGAAGAAAAAAATAAAATCCAACCACAGCAGGTCCTCCTTTAATTACAATCCTCCTTTCTGCAAAGAGACCTGTAATAATACCTCCTGCAATTTTTATAAGCATTCAAATGAAAGAAGAGCTTAGTGATTATCTTTTAAAAGCAGTGCAGGGAAAAGGCAGAAAGGAGCATAAAGAAGCCCTGCAGAAATTTGCAAGCAAATATACAGGAAGATGCACATTCATAGGTTTAAATGAGGACTCTCTAAAGAATTGACTGCAGCTGTGCAAAACTGAAGAGACACAACTGAATTTTAACAGTAGAACTTCCAATTACTCAATATTCCTTCAAGAAACTTAAAATTTGAATAGGTCCACAAGGACTTGAAAAGGCATAGGAGACCAAAATATCTTAAATTTCATGACAACTTTGCGGACAAGCTGTTCTTGTATAGATTCACTAAATGGCTACAAGAGAGAGATTTTCAGAACTACTTTAAAATGAGATTTCCTCCCCACTTCCTGAACTGGAAAATTCACTGTTACCTCTGAAAACATCTTCTGTTTTGAAACCTGAGCAATAGTTTTGAATACTCTATTAGGACTACAATGCAACTGTGAGGCAACCTGCATTTCTATGGGAAATCACCCTGCATTAGTTAAGATTTGGAAATTGAATACAGAAAACAAGCTGTCAAAATGTTTCTCTGTACTGTTAAAAAAAATCAAACATTTTTTGTTTTCCTAAGGGAACCTAGGGTGCATAACTAAACTCATGTTTAGTTGTTTTTTACTCACTGGATTCACACTGTGCCCATTTGTACAACCTGAGCAAATAACTTGGCTGTTACTTCTGCTTCTACTCTGTAAGAATTTCTGTTGTTGTTCTCAAATATACAGAAAAATGCAGCTAGACAAAACTCAACTTCCAAAAAAGAAACAGAAGATATTCAAAGAGATTAGAAATAAAACAGAAAAATCACTTCTAAGTTCCTGTGCATAGACAAATGCTCAGACTGACAGCAACAACCCTGTAAGACATATACAAGATCCGTGGTGATGAGAAGCACCTTCCCAACTACTTCCTACTTCTACTGTCCCTGCTACAGGAAAATCCACTGTCTCCTAACAGAAGTCACACATTCACATTACAGCTCTCTGCAACTTATTTTAACACACAAAATCACTGGAGCTGTTTCAAATGCCATCCATTCACAAAGTAGCAAAGTGGGCAGGAAAGCCACAGTAACTATCATAATCACGTTAGATGCCATGAGAGAGTAACTACTCAAAAATTGATAATTTACTAAAAAGATCTGGACAAAAAGCCTATACATTTATTTTAATGAATATTCCACTTAGTCACGTAAAAAAAACCGAATCATACTGACAGTAAATGGATATTGTTAAACCTGTTTGATAGTTGAAAATCCTTCAATTTGCACCAGAAAAGAGACAATGAAAATTAACTTAAACCTTCTGAGTAGAAATTCTACATATGTCTATACATTTGGAGACACCTTTATAAACCAGGCAGAAGAAACCAGAAGTCTAGTGTTTTCCTACAGATAAGCTGAACTTAGTGCTGTTTCACCCGATTTAATCTGCCACAAATACCATCACAGCTGTGTGAGTTAATAAGCAGCAGTAATACACTGTTATTTCCACTCAAAAAAAGAGCCCAATAATGCACATACAGCTACACATTACATCTTCAGCTATACCTCTTGTATGTTCTGCTTCTAAACCTTCCAAGCACTCAGACCATATCCTCCTCCTACCACTAGATTGTAGCTACTTTCTTTTCCATGCTGTGTAGGTAGGAAGTATAATTTAGGAGGAGGAAAAGAAAGACAGCTGGCTTCTTAGTCATCCTGTTATGCAAGTGTACAAATGGAAGTGTGGAAAGCCTGAATAGTTGGAGTATATCTGGTATGGACAGCAGTCTGGTACAAATCAAGAAATACATTGACAGCTCAGACCTCCAACCACCACTTTGCCAGAAGTTTACAACTTGACCAAATTTAGGTCAAAACCAGCACAAGGCAACTCCATACTCTTTTAAAATATGTTTAAAATAACAAAAAAATATTCTCCCTCCCTTCTAAACCTGTTTTCTTAATCATTCTAAGCTTAAACCAAAAGCTTACCAAAACCAATTCAACTGGTATTAAAGGTCACCACAGTCTAAATTTCAGCAAAATTACAAATAACTGGACAAACATTTTCATAAGGCTTATGCAGCCTTATAAACTGGCAGTGGCACAAGCACCACACACAAGGATGTTTCAGTCCCATGAAGGGACAGCATGCTTTTCTTACTGTCTACAATGACAGAAGTTCATCCAGATAAGATACTAACATCTTTACACAGATCACTTTACTGTGAGACTGTGATCCATTTAGAAGAGACAAAATAATGGTACCATGACATAGAGACTAATCAAGCATGAGGAAGACAGATTTATATTCAGTTAAGCTGAATGTATATTTCCTGATGTTTATATTTTTCTATCAAACTTTACACTTTATAACTTTATAACAATTAAATCATTAAAAATTGGATTCCTAAAGGTCTGCAATTTGTTAGTACTCACTATATTTGTATAAAAAGCAACATTTCTATAACTAGACAGCAATAAGAATTCCCAAGCTAGATGTAAGCTGTACACTTCTAAGTATCTAACCTCACAAATCAGGTATCAAAAAGTTTGGGAGCATAACTGGTCTCTATCACATTATCTGGATTCCCAGTCTTTTTAGTGACTCTAAATGTTTCCCTTATAAGCCAGATTTTGGGGTTTTTTTGTAAATGTAGGTTGTTTTCCTAAATTTAAAACACAGGGATTAGAGAACTAAAAGTGTATTTGAAACAGGCAAATACTTTGCAGAATTACTTAATGGAAATTTCTTGCTTTTTTAAAAACATTTCTAAAGTGTTCATGAGCGTTACCTGGAGGTGAAGTGAGGTGAGCTGTTTTCATTTCTATTAAAAAATTAATCAAAACCTAGGGCATAAGGTCATATTCTGCAATTTGTAATATGGTATGTAAACATTTATAGTTATAAGCACAAAGTAAGAATTTTTGTGCTACAATAAGCATCAATATTAATTCTTTTGGTTCTACTCCCCCACAGAACTTGAAATTTAAGTGGAAAGATTGCTGCTACAGTCCACATTCCCCTTTTTTCATAAATGGTCCATTAGGTTTTAAGAGTATCTTGACATGTCTGCAACACTCTAAAAATAAATTCAAAATTGAAAGTTTCTGCAAAGACAAACACAAAAAACAAGTCAAAAGATTTTTTTAAAATACAAACACATAGTACAAGTAAAAAGAAAAGCTGAAGACAAATTGATACAAAAATCAGTATTTATGTAAAAAAATAATGCACTGCATATTGTAAAATCAGTCAGTTACAGTATTCACCTTCACAGAGATTTCTACATTTTCAGGCTTCAAAAGGTTACACAGCAAGGAAAAGAGACCAACATGACAGGCAGACTGCTTCCTAGATTCCATTACAGAAATTTATACCCTGAGCCTGCAGGGAAATTAGAAGCAGGATACAAACTCTGCTGACAATGGAGTGTTTTCTTGTACTGCTAAAGCATTTGTCCAGCTCACATGGAGCTGGAAGTCAGAGCCAGTCTATCTTTGACAAGGAAACAGCTACAAAAATTAAGCTTCTAAAACGGGGTTGGAATGAAGGTGCAAGTCAGTGAGTGGATCCTCCATGTTCAACACACAGGAACTGTCCTGGAATCCAAAAGCTCACTTTATGAAGACTTCATCTCACTTAGGTTATCTAAGTTCATATATAGTTTACAAATACATTTCATACCATGCAAGTTTAAATATTTTACTGTAACACTAGAATTCAGCCCTTTTCTTCATGGTTTTCTCTGGAGAAAAAGTTTTTATTACTTAAACAGAAGGTTTTTTTCACTAAGATAATTGGAGGAAATCTAATCCTCAACTGTTGCAAATCACTATCACCCTGTTGACAAGTAATGCATTAATGTAGTGGAGGGTCTGCCCCAAAACTATTTTAAAGCCATTTATTAAAAAAATATTACAACAGGATATATTCTCTAAAAAAAAACCCATCTACTACAAAGTCTGATGAAGCATCAGAACTCTTACTACAGCTCTTCACTTTTACATACTACATACTCTAGAACAATCATCAGGTAATAATTCCTAATATGGAAATACAACAGCAACAGCTTTCCACCACTGGGCTTTTTTTCTACTTCCAAAATGCCCTATAAAGCTGCAAAACCATGAAATTTTTTAAAGTATTGTAAGACAAGCAACTTCAAACTGGATTTTCACTTAAGACCTCCTCAGTTCTGCTCTACCTTTTGGTGCTAATGGCTCTACAATGTTGAAACAAATTATTTTTAATATAAAGTCTCTCTAGTTACTAACAGAGAAAACTAGTATCACATACTAGTCATTTTCTCAGAAAATCATATTCATAGTGTGCAGTTTACATCTGAGATAAACAAAATAAGATTGTCAAAACAGTACTTCAACATGTAAGAGATGAACATATAAAGGCACATACAGATTGTCAATGATTACAACACATTTCTTTGACAAGAGAGTATTTTCTGCACTTGTAAACAACTTTGTTTACATAAAGGCCCACACCTTTAAAGTGAGGTTAGTGCTGCTGACTCAGTTATTGCTACATTCACAGTTTAACAGAATCTTAGACAATATATGAGGTACAATCCCAAACAGAGCCATCTTCATTACTTCCTTGTTCATTTATCATTAGATAACTGAATTATGCAGACTAAAATTACTGACCATAGAAGCCAGTAACACCCAAATCATCAGATACGAGGCAAACATTAGCATTGATTAAACTTCAAAAAATACAGAAAGTCATCTTTGCAGAAAAAAGCTCTTGCTCTTCATTACATTAATATTTTCTTCATTTTTATGTATGCTAGTAAACTTTTTTCTGGGCACATTAAGAGCCCATTCAAGCTGTAACAGAATTCTTGCACCTTTTGACTAACTATGTTAATTCAGTCTCTTGATGCAACAGCTAGGAGTCAAAAATCACCTTCCCTTTGATCTTCTGGCATACAAGTCTCTTATGCTTTTTGTTAGCTGCTTTATGAATACTTTGTATACTCTCCCACAGTACGTATGCGTGGTTTTCTGTAATTCCTGTTCCAGGGGCTGCAGCAGTGAATGAACCAGGTCATCTCCAAATGAATACTGTAAAGAGGTTAAAAAATATTTAAGGTTAATATGGAAGACTGTCATTACTCAGAGGTATTAGAGTTTTATAAAAATTATTTTAAGCAACATATTTGCTGTCTATAGGTTTATTAAATGTTTTCAAGAACTCATGAGTGCTTCTGAATGCAGTAATTTAAAAACACCTCTAAATTGCAAAAGTATAACCTCATAATTTCAATAAATCTAGCAAGAAAGTTTTTTTATGTTAAGTAAATTAACATATTCAGACAAGCAAGGAGGAAATTTTTTAAATTACCTTACTCAATTAAAAATTTACAACTCTAAAATGATTTCTGGATTTTTTTTGTTGCATGGTAACTTTCTCAAATGATATATAACCTTTAAGTAATACAAGTCTTATCAAATAATAATGAAACAAGAGTATAAAAAGTGGTACTGAAGTTTCATTAAATTGAATGATGGTCAAACACATATTGTGTTTAACATGGGCATGAAATAAAGTTGTCACTAGCTCAACACTGCAATGTTTTTTATAAACAAATGGTAAGTTAAAACAGGATTTTGAAGTAACATAATTTTGTTCATCTTATTACCATTGAATCAGTAGCAGTTTACGTACTTTCTCTAAAACATCCGCATACGAAATGGGATCGTAAATAAAAGGAAGTAATTTTTCCTTCTATTTTTGACAATGCTCAAAGGAAACAAAGAAATAATATTTTTATAGAAATACAATCACTTTTCCTGCAATGTATTCTCAGTCCCCCAAAAGTACTTTTCTTCATTTTTATACCTATATGACAATGTGTAATAAAGCAACATTAAAATATACTCTTGGTTTTTGTAGGTTATACACACACAGTAGCCTGCTACATCAAAATGTGCATCAGTGCTAAGTTTTACAGCTCTTCAGTGAGTATACTGATGTCGTGATAAATAGTTCATTAAATGACTTATTTGCAGAATGAAGACATTGTGCTTCATCTTTAAAGGAACAGCAACATATTAATACCCTGAATTTCTGGAAAAGGTCAAAACATAGTATATAAAAAATTTTTACATTTCAAATCTGGATACAATTAGGTAAAGTGCTGCAGTAAATAAATACAAACTTTGGGAACAAGGGATTTTTTTCTGCACTTTAAAATCTCCCAAAAAACAAAAGTTCTGGTGATGGCGTGTTCAGCCTGGAGACAGATTGTCGCTCTCTACTCTGCACTCAGGAAGCCTCACCTTGAGAAAGTAGTGCATGTAGTTTTGGTCACAATACAAGGACACAAAGTGTCCAAAGGAGGACCATGAAGATGATGAATGGCCTTGGGGGGAAGCCTTGTGAGAAATGGTTGAGGGCACACTTGATCTGCTCAGCCTGGAGGAGACTGAAGGGAGACCTCATTGCAGCCTGCAGCTTCCTTGTGAAAGGAAGAAGAGGGGCAGACACTGATCTCTGCTCTGTGGTGACCAGTGACAGGACTTGGGGAAACAGTCTGAAGCTGTGTCAGGGGAGCTTTAGGCAGGATAAAAGAAGAGGGTGGCTGGGCATTGGAACAGGCTCCCAGTGGAAGTGGTCACAGCATAAAGCCTGGCACAGTGCAAGTCTTTGGACAATGCTCTCAGGTGTATGGTGTGACTCTCAGGGATGGTCCTGTGCAGGGCCAGATGTCTGGATTTCAGTGATCATTGTCAGCCTCTGCCTATCCAGACATTCTAAGATGTCCAAACGCTCATGGAAACAGTTTACTGGGTGATTTATTAAATAAATGAGAATAAAGCCTTTTAAATAAACACTGACAACTACAGGCATTGTCTTAGAATCCCAACCTAGATATAGTCTACACTCTGTTTCAAAGGATGCTCATCAAAACATGAATATACTGAAACTCCATCCAATCAATGAAGGAGAAAAAGGTGGCAAAATACTTGACATTACCTAAAAGTGAAAGAAATTACTTTGTTGCAATCAAGATGAATACAAACATGCCTACAAAATACATGTACCACTATATATAAACATACATGACAGAATGAGTACAATGCAAAAATCACTTACATTTTTTATCGCTTCATAGACAGCCCTAAAAGTTGGTTGCTTATCATCGTGGTAAACACCTCTATTTCCATGAAGAATAAATATACCTTCTTCTTCAGCTGCCTTACAATTGCTTCCATAGATGCAGTGGTCAGGCCGGTAATTCCATTGGCAAGGAAAGACATAAAGACTTTCTGTGTGGGAAAATGAGAGCTCTGGGTTAAACTTTAAAATTGTTTCAAGAAATAAACCAATATTTTCTTTATTTATTTAGGACATCTTTATAAATTTCTGTACAGTAGTTTTGAAATCTAACAGTCAATTACACTCTAGCAAGTTCCAGCACTGTCTCTCAAATGCTTTCAGAGAGTTAAAGAAGTGAATAGTCCCCTTTGAAGGCTTTTAGCCAAAAGCCTGCTTATTGAATATTTTCCTGGATTTTTTTCCTGGATATTTTTTTTTCCATGGACAAGATAACTTCACAGTGTTAGAGTAAAAATCAATGTGGATTTACCTGGATTGTGAAAAAACATAATGTTCAATAGATCCTGATCACCCCATGTTATGTTCAACTTGTATTTCTTCAGTAGGGGCATCAGAATTTCTCCCCATTGTAGCCGGACTGGTGTCATATCATTCTATTAAACAAAACAAAGCAAAACAACACACATTCAGGACAGCTGTACCTACAGGGAAGGAAATGCCTTACAGAATCACAGTAGCTTGCACTTCAAAAGTAGAAATCTCAAATGTATAGACATCTTCTTCCCTTTAAACCAGCAAGCCTATCTAAGGAAACTAGTTACAGACATTTCCAATATGCTTTATTTCTCAATGATCAACTTACCAAAAATTTCCCTCTAACATCTTAAACCAAGAATTCTAAGAATAGCAAGGGATTTTTTATACAGTAGTAGGATCTAATACCAAAACTGTGTTTAAGTCATGCAGCAAATAGGGCATATTTAAATATCCATACATCATGCAGTTTTTCTCTCTATCACAGAGTTATAGTATACACAGGTTCTAACACTAACCACAAAAATTCATACCAGTTCAATATAAAATTAACTATTAAATAGTTCCAAACACATACAGATAAAAAATACTGTCTACAAAGTAGTGTACAAAAATACAGAAATTCTTCAAAGGTTTTCAGAAGTATTTTCATCAACTTTATCTTATTTTTTTTTTAGTTATTCAACTTTAATTTCCTCATCAACAGGACAACTTCTCACTAGGAAAAGTCAATAAGAACCAAAGCAATAGCTGATACCAAATTCCCAAGTTCTTGATTTAGCAGAATCACTTCAAAAGAAAAGGAGTTCTTCTAAGGTTCTGGTTGAGGAGCAGCTACTTGGAGTAAATTGGCCTACACAGAATTCCATGTTAACAGAGGGATTCAAATCTGTAGTTTAAATGGTTACATATTCTAAAGCTAATTTCTTATTTTACACCTTATTTAAGCTCAACTAGAACAGAAATGGAACAAGGCTGCTCATTTTGTACCCTGTACTTCACAGTTTTGAGAATGTGGACGGAACAGCACTAAATCCCATAGAGACTACAAGCATTGCTCCTTTACTTCTATTTAAGCAAGTTGCCAAAAGAAAAATTATATTGGAACATATATTATATAGAACAGTATAGTTTCAGATTTGCATACAGGAATATCATGTTAAGAGACAGATTACCAGGAGCAAAATACTCAGTTTGAGATTTACAGTATTAAAGACTTCTTTCTCAGAGCTTTACACTGACAAAGTAGAAAGTGCACAAAATTGTAGTGCAGTTTTTACTCTTCCCTCAAATCATTTCAGCCATCAAATATGAAGGGTTTTCAGAACTGAAGACTAAACCAAGAAATACTACAAGATTTCAGACAAGAACTAATACAAAAAAGATCTATACCTTATATTATGCAAGAGGCCAAACAGAATATTACAGTCCCTACTCTCCTAAAAAATGTATGATTGTGATTGCCTGCAAATATTCAATGAGTGCAGGCATAAGAAATGCACAAGAAAATTCTTCACTAGTAAGAATTATTGTTGGATTCAATGCAAAGTGATTAAATGAAATAAAACACAGACTTTAACACTAAGCTAAACCCTTCCAAGAAAGCAAATAAATAAGACTGAATCACAGTCAGTAAAGATTACTCCCTCACCTGAAATTTGCAATTGACAGAATACTGACCTATAGTTTAAGTTTAGACAAAATGATAAGATTAAAAACAGAATTAAATTAGCTCACTCATACAAGGCAAAGCATGGTAAGAGAATATATAGTAACAAATACAGCTTTAGATTAACACATAGAAATAGAAGTTTACATTGTTAAAGTCATTATTTAATAGAATTTTCTTTCACTTGTAAAGTTTTAATAGCAGAGAAATCCAGAGCATATCCCAAAAAGATGCAAAGCAAGTAAGAACATGCATCACACAGCCAGATGTCTAGAAGCAATACTACTTGACAAATAGTGCTGTCAGAACTAAGAACTGGAAATTGTAATATTTCCATAACCTTTGCATAAATAGAAAAGAGCTATATATTAATAAAAAAGTAGTGATATATAATGACACCAGTGTAGGAGCAAGAGAAACTTGAATACTTGAATAATTACTTGTTTTCCTTCTTTAAAATATGCCATTGTAAGGTAAAACAGCCTGAGAAGTAGGATTCCGATAGAACTGCTTTTTGGAAGTTACTAAAGTAAAAAAACTCAAAATAAAAATGCTATAATAATTTTCAAATGTCCAGAATACAATCCTTTCCTCCAGTATTCCACAACATGCAAAGAATGTTAGCAATTTGAGAAAAAAACCCCAAATGATAGTAGGCATTTCTGTGATGACATCAAACTGATGCAGACAGATTCTTAAGAACTCTCAAAACTTTAGTTTACTTGAGCAGAAGAAAATGTGGAATAACAAAATACACACAGGAACATCAAAGTATTTTCTGACATTTTCATTGTTTTTTTGTTTTTTTAGCTTGGTCATTATTCATTTCTGTACCAGAAATCTTCTGCCTGGCCAAGGCTTAAGTCAGACTTTAAAAATCTGTCACATTTAGCCTTTTTTTTAATTCTAAGAATAAAAAGCTGAGGAAAAATTCTTGAATCACACAGCCATATCTAAACAAACTGCAGCTGTGTCCCACAAACAGCTAATCAATTTAAATTTCCTTAATGCCAAGGGAGAGCCAACCCCCTGCCTTCTGTTTACACTATTCTACCCTGTTCTTACACTAACAATGTACTGCTAACACTTACTGCATGTTTATGTAAGCTGATATACCTCAATAACCCAGCAGAAGGATTTCTTTTTTCTACTGTTAGCAAATTGAATTGAATCACAGAAAGGACCAAACACCAAAGGCTACAACCAAGTAAATAAGAAAAGCAGGGAAAAGCAGCTGGTAAGAGACAGGAATCTTCCTTTTAGAAGCAATTTGGTTTTGTGGAGGTTCACCATATTTCTTGAAACTACAGCCTTAAGCAACAATGAATGGTAAAAAAAGGTTATAATGGTTTAGGGTTAGAGAAGCTCTCTGAACTATGTTTTTTTTCTAAAGCATACCTGTGAACCTCTGCTTTCCACACTCTGAAGTTAATTTATTCAGGGCTTGTTTGATTTTCTAAGAGCTTATTCCCTTCCTTGACTGCCTGCATCTCAGGCATCACACCCTCAATATATGTGATAAAAGTCATTCCTCTCTATTCACATTGCCTTATTGATCTTTTTGTTTAAGAGCAACATACGTTTAGCATTTGCGATATCTCTTCCAGTTTAAAAAAAATCTACATCTATACATATACAAACACAGAAAAAGTTATCTACTATTACCTCTTCCATATCCTAAAGTCTTGACTGCTTTACATTCCCATTTTCTAACTGCTGATTAGCAGAGACAACCTGTAGGCACTAACAATCAGAAGCTTCATTATGAATTCTCATGTGCAGTTATGCAGTATAATGACCAGCAAAATATTCAGTAACACATCTGTGCTTGCACATCTATCTGTATACAAGCATACACGTGTAGTGTGTGTGTTATTTAGTGCATGTATTTGTGCCATACATACACACAGACACTCTACACACAAGACAAATAAGACAGGACCAGAAGGAACAACATCCATTAGGCACCACCGACAGCCAAGGAGCTGGGATGCTTGTCTGAAATAGCCTGATCTGACACTCCTAAGACAGAGGAGGCTTGAATAAGTAAGCGGATAAAAGATGACTTAATCCTGGAGCAGTACATGGAACTACAAGTTATTGCTACCCAGATGAACATATAACCAAGTCTCTGGTTCTATTTTTTTTATTTATCCATCTTCTGGATCCTCCCGACTCTTAAAAATCAATGTGACAACAGAAGATGCTCAAAGGCCTCAAGCGGTTCAGCTTGTAATTTGGGCTACAATAGACAAAGAACCCACATTTTAAACCCATAGCACTGGAAGATTATCCTGATCCAAAACTTTCACTTCAGATAAATACTCTACAGTATCATGCAAAAAAGGTTTACAGGTATTTTTAAAAAGATTAAAAAACTCCCAGAATTTATATACTCCTTGAAGAATTTGTTGAGCCTCCTGAAAGAATATAAACAAATTCACACCTTCCCATAACACAAGGAAGTATGTTCTAGTTCTACTGTATTTCACTGAAATAGTTAATGGCACACAACATGGAACTGTAAGGTTCAAAAGCATCTGCAGGGGGCAAGGGATATTAGGACAGCCCCTGCCCCTGAATTTGGTCTACCTCTTTTCCAAAGGTTTGAGAACAGTAGCTCCTCTGCTATCCGTCACAAGCAAAAGTCATACACTCTCAGGCCCACTGTGTATAGACTCACCTACACTAAATCCTTTTCCAAGTTTTGCTTTGATGTCTACAACTTTTCCTACTGACCAATTATCTTTATAATAAGACATTCAAGGAACCTGAAGATGAAAACATAGTCTCTGCAAGTTTCCATGAACAGTAGTGTTTGTAATAAAGTTTGTGCATCTTCAGGCACTGTGATACTCTTCAAGCTTGTGGGACCACACTCTAGGTACTGAGGGAGAATAAACTAAATGGTTCCCTTGCTCAGTGCTCTCTTAGCCCACACCTCACAGAATCACAGAAAAAATATTCTAGCCCTCTAGAACTAAGGGAAAGTGCAGCGTTTAATTCTGAATTTCAGAATACTCATGAATTAATTAACTTAATTAAATCTTATATTTTAAGTATATATATATATATACACTTAAATATGAAGAAAACACCAGTTTTAGGTGTTATGGAGAAAGGACTTAATGTGATCCTCTAGAAAGCTACAGTTAATTTTATTGACAGTTTTAGTACCCTACATAATCTGTATTCTTTTGGCAATTTGAACTCAAATTTTACCCAAAAATGCATAAGGTTTCCAATTACTTGATAACCTAAGTCATACCAAGAAGCCAAACCAGAATTCTGTCACAGTATGAATAAAAGACCAACTTTATCTTAGTCTTTACCACACTTAAAATAAATCACTACACAGAAATGCACTGTCAGACCTTAAGATATATGCAGCTTTCAATCCCATATTTTTCTCTTTATACTTTTTCAGTATTTTTATTTCTCCATATGCTATAATCAGTAAAACAAACAAAGCAGACAATTCAGGATTTCACTGATGAGATATATGTGTGTGTGTATATATATATATATATATATATATATATATGACAGAAGTTTACATACTACAGCCACTATAACCTTCTACTTTCATATACAACTGAGATAATCCATTCTCCATTTCTCTTAAATTCTCTGAATTTCCTTCAAGAAAAACACAAAGCACGAATACTGTGATGAAAGCTGCATATTACACTGGAAATGGGGGAAGAACTAACTGCAAATTTATATTGCTCCTCTTACGGATGAATCTTCCAGAAGTTGTTGACTGCATGATTATTTTTCCCTAATCAAACTTTTCTTAAACAGAGATGTACCCCAAGCATAAGCAAACAACACTGCTTTTGTACTTGTGTTTCAAGTACATAAGAAAAAACCTCAAGTCTGAGGAGCAATGACCATTTCTACTGCTGTGTGCATTGCTTCCGTGCATGTAGTAGTAGCTACTTTCATTACGAACTTCTTTGTCTACAAAAGCTAGGACTTCAAAGCAAATAAAAAGATGCTTAGGGTGATAATCACCTGGCTACAATGTAAAAGATAAAAATTTGGAAATCTTTGTTTTCAACAACTTACTAAATGTTTTAGCACCACCTCCTGGTCATACAACTACACACATTTTACAAGTTTACAATAATTGTTTTTCTGGGATGCCTGCAGTGAAGAAATAATGTGGGTCTATCTATTGGCAAGTGTTATTTGCAGTAAATTGTATCAAGTCAAAGAATCTCTCAGGACTAAGAAAAAAATAAATCAATCAAGCACACTTGAAATTCAAGTCTTACAGTGAATGACATTTTAAAAATAGATCCTATTTTAAACACAGTGTACTTTGAGAGCATTATTACAATAACAGAAAAAAAATTGAAAAATACATATGAATATGAAACAGAAATAGAATTAAAAGATGAAAATCCACCAAAAATGCAACTGAGGCAACACACATACCTTGAAATATTTTCTTCTGATACGTGTCATATTCATTAGCATGACTCCAGAATTAATTCCAGTTACTCCATAATAGGGATGTCTAGCAAATCGATTATACCACCCAATACGAGGCTCTTCATGCTCTGGTGCCATTGCAGCAATTTGTGTGGAGTTGAACTTTCCCAGAAAAGACCAAATATCATCAACAGGCCTCAAAAACAAGATGTCAGTATCAACATACAGTAGTGAATCCACATTTTTGAGGATTAACTGTGAGGGGAAAAATTTTGAAACAAAAGTTTAAGTTTTATTGAACTTCTCTTCAAAAAACACAAGAAAGAAACTAATTTTTGTCATATGTCATATAAATTCACTTTACACTGACAGCTTGCAGTCAATAAATTTATTATCATTCCTTTTTGTCACATTTTAAACAATTTTTGTAGAGGGAAATAAATTTGATATAGAACAGCATTGCAAAGGCACTCATTCTACATTTTATATGTCAGGGCTCCTTAGGAGTAGGGGGTGGCCAGGTGTAACATTACTCTAACAGGAGTTCCTCTCTCACCCCTGCTCCCTCACTTTCCCATGCAACTCATCAAACAAGTGTTAAGAGCAGTCTTTGGGAGATAGCTGCCATGGCTCTAATTCCCCAAGCCTGAAGTATGTTCTCTCAAGTGTCTTAGATGAGCATATGCACAAAACACTGCAACAAGAGCCCATTTGTTGTTTCCTTTTTTTCTAGCACTTCTCAGACCCATGCATACAGGAAACTTTCCAACTCAGTGAGGAGGTGTGATAAATCCAGCTTACCTCCAAGATGATGACATGACCTATACCTCTTTCTGAGGATACTGTGCCATAATGCATCAAGTGAGAAAAGGACTTTTATGCTATAGGGTACTAGTGCCATAAAAGAATGATAAATTTGGAGGGCTTTTTCAGATGTCAAAAAAGTAACTTTAAGGAGCAGTAGTAGTTCTGCATTTAAAACCAAACAGAAATCAGATTAACAAGGACAGCTTGATGCTTCATAAACAGACTTCTGGATTGTCCTACTACAAAGTAACTTACTGGCAAAAATAGTCTTTGTGAAGCACATGGTTTAAATAATTTCTTCCATTCTGCTGCACTCTCAGACGGAAATGTTATTGGATATAATGTGTAATTAACTTTTCCTTCATAGGGGAATTCTTCGAGCTATGTGAAAATAAGAAATCATAAAAATTACTTCAATTCCATAACAAAAAAAAATCAATTTGCCATTCAATTTGATACTTGAACACAAGTGCAATGCCTCTTTTCCATAATAGAAATCCAAGAATTTGTCAGCTAATCAAAAGATTTGAACAAAAAGTGGCAACTGCAAGCCACTATGAAGAAAAAAGATATTTGTGTAATATCAGATCACATGCAAAAGGAAGAGGAAACAAAATAAATTAGTATTTATAAAAAGTATACAAATTAAAACTCTTCCCCTCTTAACTAGCTACCACAGAACAAATACCAATGAAATATTTCCAAATTTAATCTTATTCCTTTTTTGCCACAGCTACTGTTTGCATAACAGTGTATATAAATTAGCATGTGTAACACACTAATGTCACAGTTAATATGATATTTTAAGCACAAAAATAGTAAAACCCTCCACAGTTATAGCTTCATCAGGTTCTAAAACTGTTACTCCAGTCATAATGTAATTTTAATTAACTGAAATTTACTAAAATTAGACATAACTGTATCTACCATATTCAAAAACTGGTGTTTCACTTTCTCTAAACAATGTAAGCACAAATGTAAGCAATGCTGTAAGCACAAAGACAAAAAAAGGACAGATCTACAATTTTTTCTTGTAAAGCCAACTCTAAATAAGCTCACACAAGGTAAGTGGTTTGTGTTCAGAACATCAGGCTGTATTTAACAGATTCAAGATGACAAATCAGAAAGTTTTGGTCTGTCTCTAGGGGAAACTATGGTATCAGCAGCTGGCATTCTTGCACATGAAAAAATTTCAAAGATCCTCATCCAACACTATGAATGCCTCATTACCTTAGACTCCTGCATTTCTGCCACTCTGTCAAACAAGTAGAATTGCTTTACATTGTGCTATAAATTGTGCTACAATTTAATTTAATACATTGTTGAATACTTACTATGTCTTTGAAACTGTCATGTAATTGGTCCTCAGCAAAAATATGAAAATGGAGAGGTTTGATGCTGAAAATAATGGCTGATCTCAACATAGTAACAGTCTCCTCCAGTCTTTCACCACAGGCCACCACTGCTAGATGCATTTTCTCAGAAGGATGTGTTTTCATATAATCATATCTGATACAAAAATATTTTTTCATTTGACATTATTTCTAACACAGGCTTAAAGAAAAAAAATCTACTATTTACTGCAGCAAGCAATTAACAAAATACCCTTTTACCATACTTAAACCAGCAAAGTATAACTCAAGAGAACACACTCATATATATGTTTCCATTTAACCTGAACCATTCTCATAATCACTCCCACCATCCCAGCCTACAAAGGGGAAAAAAAAAAAAAGGTCTAGAAAATCTATAAACAAACATTTATTGTTTACAATCTTACTATTCATTACTAGCAAAGAAATTCATCAAAACAGCTATTTGAAAAGACTACATGAAGTAACACCAAAATGTCAAAGGCTGACATGACAGCACATTAAGTCTATACATGAGTTTTTTCCCCTTTCCCTGGACTAAATACAGACATAGGAAAAAATGACAAATACAGCAGAGTTGAACTCAACAACAGAAGTGAGATAACACCTACTTTCAAGAAGTTCTGTTAAGAAGATTTTTGACTGATCTAGGTATTTTCCATTTTCTGCTCCAGTAAGTCCTTTTTTGTCAAACACACCCTTCAGTGCTTCGCCCTTGCACTGACAAAACACAGAAAGCTTTCTCTTGTCCTTGCCTCTTGGAGGAGTACAACATAGGCTGGATGAGGGGGAAACAGCTCAGATGGCCTTGTGGGATGCCCTGGTGCTCCCAGTGGTTCTGGGAAATCCCTCAGGTACACTGACCAAACACCTTGAGGTCCAGGGCCTTGAGGCTAAATCATTGCAAGGAGTGGGGACTGAGAAATCCTTTATTCCTAAAGACACCTGTGCAACAGTTATTGCAACCTGTGCCTGGAATGTATTATAGCAGGCACATTTTAAAGTTATTTTGCTACTAATAAAATAGACTAAAATTGTCATCAGGTAAATACCTTGGTGGCAAACAATGTGGGTATACCAAAAATCTGGATTTCATAGATTTAGAAGGAAAAGCTTTCAAAGCTTTTAAACACACATCAACTCAAAGCCCATGTGCAAAACAATATTATGCACTTGAGCTGTTTGCACAGACTATGGGAGGAGAGGGCTAATTGAACCAAAAGCATCTGAAGGTTTAAATTACAAGTTTAATGCCAAATTACACACAAAAAAGCAATTCTGAAGTTAGAAAAGACTTTACCAAACTACTAGCAATAGAGAAATGCTTGACAAATCATCCATTCTTAGAAACTTGTTGAAGAGACTCTTCAAAACAGAAATTACTACATGTGGTTTTTATTGCATAATCTCTGCTCAATTTATGCAACCATGTAAATACATACAAGGTTTCCTTTAAATTTGCAACAGATAATATGCAAATATGCCTCTTTTCTTTAAGGCACAGAAGAGCTACAGTCATTATTTTTACTTCCACAAGGCAAAATATAAGCAAAGTTATCACTGTAAAACTACTGAATTTTAATGCCATGAATAATTGCTGCATCTAAAAAACATTCTGAGTTTTGAAAGAATTTAGTGCCCTGGAACTAAAAAAAAACTCTTTTTTTTTTCTAATCTTAAAACCAGGGATTTAAGATTAATAAAATTTTAATTAGATTATGCAGCCAGTCTTATGTCATGGTTTGAAGCATTATTAAAAATCACATGGATGAAAGACCTCATAGGTCAGATTTAGATCCAAAATAGGGTACCTAAATGAAGGTGCTAACCTCAACTGTGTCTGAAGTGTCATTAAAGCCAACAGAGATCTAGTGAGCATGTTATGGTGTCAAGAGAGTAATCCACCTTATTTCAAAGTAAGCACCTAAGGCCTAAATTTATTTTCAACATAGGTATAGTGCCATTTAGTAAGCTCTAAAATATCCCACTTGATCTTCAGATGCCAAAAAGACTGAGTATTTCAAAGATTATTTTGTGTCTACTAGTCCTAAAAAGATGTCTAGGATATCCGAGTGCTTAGTGATTAGCATCAACCACTTACATCTCAGCAACTAAATGGCTGATTACCTGGATCATCCTCTATGCCCTTTCAATTTTAGTGACTGTTTAAGACCTCCCTGACATAGACACCAATATGCAGACATCTATATTCAGATGATTTAATCTGCAGACTGGAACTTTTTATAAATCTTGAAGCAAAATATGAAAATTAGTTCAGATTAACACACACACTCACAAAAAAAGAATCTCAAAATATAATCAAGAATGCCCATTCAGACCTTTATACATAAAGCTAATTTAAACATGACACCATGTAGTAAGTTGTAATATAAAAAACACAATGCAACCTGAATATGAGGGTAGCTGAAATCCAGAAATAAGTACAATGCCACAGTGTGAACAAGCTGCAAGCAGCAGATTAGCCTCATCACTAATCCACTGAAAAGGGAATTACAATAATTAAGCCCTGAAGTCATGAGAGCATGCAGTGATATTGCAAGGTCATGTGACAAATAAGGGCAAAGCCTACACAAACTGCATAGCTGAAAACCAAGCTCCTGAACTACACGTAACACACAGCTTTCCATGAATAAAGTATGACAAAAATTATGATGAAGAAACTCTAAAATACACTCAGATTCAAAGACTGTAGTTTATTATTTCTACATCAAGTTACCTCTTTGAAAAAAAGAACATTTTTAAGCCACACAACAAAAAACTGACTGATTATGTTATAATGCTGTTACAGTCACTCTGCACATACAACCTCTTCTGTAACTTTCAGACTCATTGAGTTCAATATTTTTAAATCTATGCTTAAAAATTACTTCTTTAAAAGCAATGCTTAAAAATTACTTCTTTAAAAGCAAAAAAAAATATTTAGAAGGAACTAACAAAAACTAAATTTCAGCTTGTACCAAATGGGAAATAGCTGAACTCAGATTTGTAAATTCACAACATAAAGTTTTATCCCTGAAGCAGAACCCATTGGAAAGAACAGGCCAATATTCCCTCTGTGGACTATTCACTACAAAGGGAATGAGACATATTAGAACTCAGAAATGTATTAAGGCAGAAGTTAAGAGACTTTGGAACTGTGGTCCTTACTCCAGACTCCATGAAAAGACATCCTTTACTGATTTTAAGCTGCATTTGACTTCCCTGCATACAGACCACTGGGAAGCACAGCCTCCTTTTTAGCAAGCAGGCCTCAGTGCTACTCCTCTCCCTTTCACATACACCTCCGTCCTCTCCCAGAGAGAAGTCCTAGCCTCCTGTCCATCCAGAAACACTATTTACTGAGAACCCTCAGCTACTAGCATTTTTCATTGTTTTTTCCTCTTTCTGATGTGAGAGGCAGCATGAAGTGTAAATTGTTCAGCTTGAGCTCTGCAGTGTCACCTTCAATGTGAACCGTGTTTCATCCATAGAGCCAATTATGTTTTTCATTGTTTGACTTCCTTCTTCAATTTTACGTCTACATGGCTTTAGTTTTTCCACTGATTTTTTCCAAAATTTTCTGCCTTCAACTGCTCCCTTCTTTTCCCACCTGTTCCACTGCAGTTAGGCATGCAGCTACCTCCCCAGAAGCCAGGGAAAGGAAAACCATGCTCATTTAGGTAACTGGTCTGGTATCTGTTATGACCAAGTGACATGAGATCTTGTGGTAATAAATGTTTTTTAACAGTTCAATTGCTGAGTTTACAAAGAGCAAAATGAAATTTATTCTCCAAGGATAGTAACTTGTCTGAACCTAAACAGGCTTGGTATCAGGAATCACAGATCTGGTATGAACTTTTACTGAAAGTCAAATACAGGTCCTGAAAGGGTTAAGATGCTTTCAAAAGTGAGGAGATATTTTCAAAAAACTTGTTAAGAAGCAGAAAAACACAAACGTAGATTTTTTTATATGTACATTTCTAATTACTAATACCTTCATCTTTTGGTGTGGGAGAACCTAGTGGAAAGGATGGAAAAAAGCAACAATAGAGTGAAATACAATCTGCATTTTAGTATGGATGTTGGATAGCCTAACAAAGAAAACTTGGCAAACCTAATTTCTAAAAAAAAAAAATCTCCAATAATGTGGGAGCCCCAGCTCCTGCAGGGGAAGAAAACCCTCTGGTAATTAAAGACAAGAGAGAAGAAGAGAAAGAAGGCACCTGTAACCCAGTAAAAGATACTGAGCAGGATGCCATGACAGGATTTGAATCTTTAGGAAGAAATAAGAGAATTTCAATTTTATGAGGATACAAATTACACATGAAGGGTAAGGACAGTAAAAATAAACAAAACACTTGTGATAAACCTCCACACATACTCCCATGAGTTTAGGAAACACATTTAAAACACTCCACTTTTGACAATGTGAGCAAAAACCATGGATTTTAAAACATGCTACTCAGTAGCAGCAAAAGGCCAGGTAAGCAAAAGACCAAGCCTTGCCCTGAACAATTTCTGTGCCAAGTGTTGACTTTCATTCTATACTGATTAATTTTGCTGTTAATAACCTCTGAGAGAAGAACATAAGATATCCTCAGTGAAACTGCTACAACAAGGTTTTCCAAAGCCTGTCTGTCAAGACACAGCCTTATATTTAAAGATGTTTACCATGACACATTGTATACCAAATTAGCATTTCTAGGTCAATTACAGTTACAAAGCTGTAATTCGATAGTAAGCTAAAGAGGATTGTTTTGACAGGTTATTTCTAGAACCTTCATGGCATCCCAGCTGCACTTCCTCGGGAGAGAAAAAAAAAAAAAAAAAAAAAAAAAACCACCACAAATTGTATTGGCACTAAAATACCTACCAGCTCCATAAATGCTTAGTTCTGTCCTTTAGACTCGACACAAGGAACTGCAGTAGAGGTCACCTTTATTTGTAGAAGGTAAAGTTCTCCTATTCTCACATAACATATGGAAAGCACAGGTGCGAGGGTACCAAAACCTTAGTATCCTGTATACAGTTCCATCTAATTCAGTATAATAGAAGTGGTTTTCATCATTAGCGTAAAAAACATTAATTATATTCATTAAACTGTGCAGAGAAAGTATTTTCATATAATCAAACTGTATTACTTTAAAGCTGACACTACAATATACTTCAGAAATACGGTAGATATGTAAGTACAATACAGATGGCTTACTTATTGCATCCTCTTTCCTTTTAATACCCTGTTTGATGTAAATCAACCAACCACTAAGAAGCCTAACCTGGCAGCCTTTAGTCACCAGAAAAACAAAGCAAATAGACACAGTAAGAAGGCAGCAAAGCTACACTGATTAAAATCCAGATGTTAAATCACTCCCACACTTATAAGAAGTAAGATCAAGGTAACTACAGACATTATCTGGATTTGAAAGTGATGAAAATTCTAGTTTTTACTTAGCTTAATGTTCTACTACAGCACTGCATTTAAAACATGTCATAATCAAGAGATTATTCTGCAAAAGTACGCTAATGATACCACTAATAATGTCCAAATGTAATCTACTCAATGCCAAGTCAATTAGTAGATTAGGTTTGAAGTTACAACATATGAGTAATTTTAAATTGACTATAAAAATAGAAGCCCCATTCTCCAGTGAGCCTGATAATTTAGAGAAATTCCTTTTTTCAGGACTAGCAGAATTAATTTCAATATAACCATACCACATGAAGCTCAATATACCCAAAAACTTAGTGAACTTTCTACTTTAGCAGACAACACAAATTAAAACCCACTTAGCTGCAACATCCAACAACTGAAATCAGCCTGGTCAGATAGCCATAGTAATGACCCGTAAGAACTACTTCTTAGTCAGTCCCAGTAGGAAATAAGCAGCCATACCAGCTAGACAGCACTGAGCACCTTGAAATGTGTACTAGAAAAGCATCATCTACACCAAAATCTGAGCCTCATGTTATCTTTCTCAGCATTTTTAAAGTTTTGATAAAATCTATACCACTGCATGTAAAAGCAATAGCATGCTTCCTCTGTCAACATGAAAGCTAACAAATACTCTGTGCCAGAATGGTGGGAAAAAATGGGTGCAGAATAGCTACAAAATCCTTCCCACATACAGCAAAAGCAATTGATCTTACACTGATTAACCTGAAGATCCTTATTATTCATTATTAGAACCAACACCTGTTCAGAGTTCTTCAATTTCAAATGATCTTCAAATATTGCATGACTCATACTGAGGTCTATATACACATATCTCTCTCTCAAAAATTTTCCAGATTCTTCTGTATGTTACAAACATTTCTATCACACATACTTGAACCTTAAAAATCTATACAACATTAGTTTTCACTTAATACACTTAGAGCTACTTAGAGGAAGTAACGTAGAAAGCTGCATTTCAAAAGTATCAATGCCAAATTCTCTCAAGGGTAAACAAATCCCTGTGATTTTGATATTCAGGAAAAAAAGCTAAGTGAAATTACAGGTTAGAAACAGAGACATAACAAGCTTTTTTTCAAAAAAAATACTTAAAAATCCAAAAGCTCACAACGTCTTAAAATCTTAGTGGAAAATGGAAAGGAGACGTTCTAACTCTGAGACAAATTAGAGCACCTCACTGGGGAATTCAACAAGCACTGAAGTCAACACAACATATGGGGATTAATTTAATAGTAGGATATTGATAAAACAACCCATCTTAATGTGAAATGTTTAATCTGAACACCACACACCCTTCAGCCATTTAAGCAGCTTTTTTTCCTTTCAATTTCAAAATGTATAAACATGAAATTCTACAAACATTAGGCATTCACCATGAACCATGTTTCATCATGAAAGTGGGCTCATCCAGAAAAGTCATAATCAATGCAAACTTCAATAGAAATGTCTACACAGCCACATACCGAATTCTTAATAGATTAATACAAGTTACATCTTAAGGTATGTGCAAATAAATTGCATGGGATTTGTCCATTTCTGCTTCCAAGGTTCCACTTGCCTCAAGCCTGACAGAATATTCAGAAAGGAGGTTTTCTGCTATTGTTGTGCATTACTTTGTATTCATGGACTTCTTCATGCTTTGTGGGGTCAGAAGACAGCAAGACCCTCTCCTGTCTCAGCACTACAAGTGTCAGACTGCCCAGATGCCCAAACCACAATCACATCCTGTACCTCCACCTAGCATAAGCTAAACCCCTACACCCTCAATCACAACAGCATTTGATTTATCCCACTGTGTTAGACTTCATAAAGCTAAACTCCCAAAACATAAACAATAAGGAAAAAAAAAAACATTCTTTCTGTCAATTCAGATAGCTAAATCAGCCTAACAAAGTCAGGTGAATCCCTATGGATTGACACAATATGGATTGCTACTAATGGCAACGAGAAAAACTCAGCAGCGCCTAATTGCAGATGAAGTTCACTAAGAGAATAAAAATAACTCAATCTAAGTAACTTCTTTAAGGAATTTCTTGACAACTGATGAGCTTAAAAAGACTGAAAACACACAAGCAGAGAGGAATAAGGGATCTAAAGTCTTTCCTAAAATAATTTTCAAAAACTTTGTAAGTCTTGTGAAGCTAAACTTTTTTTCCCCTTTGCTTTCCCAGAAATATTCAAGTTTCATACTAACAGGAAAAGATAACCATATCAAAAGATGATCAGCAAAATTTTAAATGTAAGAAAAATTGACTTAAAACTTTGGTCATATACTGAAGAGAAATATGCAGGTTAGAGAACTACCTGACAAGTAACTTACTTCTTTTCAAGCTACCTGTGTAATGTGATAGCCTAGAACATCTGAGCCACCACCTCAAAACATTTAAACTTATTGTTAAAGATAGAGCATTAAAGAGACAGTCTATTCTTTAACATACTAAATGTTAAAGAACATTCAAAACAGTCTCTTCAGTGCTTTTGGATGAAGTACCCTCCTTAAATCTTATAAACATGTAACTTAAATTTTAAAAATCCACATGTACTTACTAAGCATATCATTTTACCACAAGTTGTATCATGGGTATTAGTGTGAAGCAAATATTGTTTGAGGAAAATTATTAATCATTAACTTTTCAGACTATACTCAGACAGGCTTTTAACAGATGTTAGCAAGTTTCCATCTAATGAAGCAATATAGTTGAAAAAAATCTACTCTTGGCAGTAACACTTGAGTCTACAAATCCAGAACACAATGTAACAAGAAAAAACCCAAGTAAAGGCAACGACAATATAAGCAGGTGAAATGCATGTTAAGTAATCAAGATATTTTGTTTTGCCACCTTGCTAAAGAGCCAAAAAACATCAGCTACATCTGTCTGCAATCAAACAATAAAGTACTATTTAACAACATCCTACCTAAAAGCAGCTTCCCAAAAGCAGTTCATTCCACAAACATCAGAGGGCAGCATCCAATAGGAATTCCAGAAAGATACAGACAAATTCTTACACCTAACAGAATAAGACAAAAATAACCTATATAAATGTTACTGATTTTATGGCAAACTGAAATGGATAGTCTCCTAGCTCAAGCAGTTAATTACTTGGCAGAAAACTGGCTATGTAATGCAACTGGAATACAAAGGAGAAGGTATTAAAAGCCAAACAGAAATTTTTAGCGATAGAATGATCCCATCCTTTATCCTTTCCTCTTCATTTATTTTCAGAATGAGAAAAACAGAGAGGCTGAGGAGGATTTTTGAGGATCCTTCTATGTTTTAGGCTTAAATTAAGCCCATAGGTAACAAGTGGATGGTGACACATATTGCTAGAAAGAACTGCACCTTTTCAATACCTTTGTCTACTCAAAGCAGAAGAACAACTCTAACTTTTAATTTCTGAGGTTACATTGTTCATTTAACACCATCCCTATTCACCCATTACTCTAGTCAGTGCAAATCGGATTTTTAATAAAAAACAGCACTTAGCAGCACCAAGGAATTCCACTGTTTCATAACAAATGGTTAATGCAATACATAAATAATCACAACATTTCACAAGTTTTCATTCTTCATACTAATAGCAAGACTAATAATTCATTGACTTGTGCTACATTAACAGCTAAAAAAGGCAGGGTCTGCTAGTTCACCATTAAATTTTATGCAGCAGCAATATAGAAAATATTTTTTAAATAGAAACAAAAGTATATATTTCAAAAGTTCTGGTGAGAAAATCAACATCAAGAATCACAATCTGAAATGAGTAAGCAGAATATTGTAAAGCAAGAAATACTCTCTTGAGTGACCTTCTCTGCTCCCTGCCCTGGTGATACAAAGACAATAGAGCTTATTCTCCTTTGAAAGTTAGTATCTGTACCTGAAAGACATATGCAAGAATAAAGCCTACACAAAACCTGCTGATGAAGAGCTATTTAAGGACTATAGCTCAGAACTCTACTGGAAGCTTTGCAAGTTTGAAATTAATCCGTACCATCTTGGTAGTGTAATCTGAAACATGTGAAAGCCAATGTTTTGCAAATACCAAACAATAATAACTTAATGTAGCATCAAAAAATGACAAGATTAGTAATTTCTTCTTTTTGTAACACTTTAGAAAAACGACCTGATAAACACAGTGTTTCACAAAGCCTCATTTAAGTGCTGTGGGGGATGGTGCAGCTCTTTGGTAGATCACAGGAAATCCTTGTATTCTGTAGATAAATGTGTTGGCAAGAATTTTCAAGTAATTTTATTTCATGACTCAAGAATGTTCTCCACAAATAAAAACCCAGGTACAAAAAATGAAAATATAGACTTCAACTCTATTTCAGGGATATCTGCACTACTCCTCAACAAAGTTTAAAACCATGAGTTGTCTCTGCCAGATTCTTTCTTACATTACTCTTTGTGGCTTTTGAAGTTTTGTAAAATCTCCAAGGCACATAAGGTCTTGCATTTATCTGAAGAACAATCTTTACGATCTCTACTACTAGCTTTTTGAAATAACTGTTGCTCACTACTTTTAAGATAAATTAATAGACAATCTTTCCAAAAGAGTTTTGTTTGGAAGACTATTATGCTATTATTACAGAGGATTCTGCTTTCAGTCGTCAGTAAGTTTTCTTAGCTGTCTTGAGTATTACCCTACCCAAACAACCAAGGCAAGAGGCAAATCTGAAGTGATGGCTGTGTCACTTCTCTGACACATTAGGCCTTTCAAACATTCCATTTAGCAAAGTATTATCAGCCTTGGGTTTGATTCATATATTTAATATGCATCATATATTTGATGCACATTTAAAACAACACTGTTACTAGAATATGTATGTAGGCAATTTACCTAATGTTAGCTTAAGACATTCTCCTGTCAACAGCAGTCTCCATCAGCTGACCACATGCTACCATATTCCCCAAAGTTTTTTCATATAAAGAATTAAGAGACTGGAATAATTGGACATTTTCTTCTTGTCATTCACAATAAGATCATTGAAAATTCCACTCAATAAGGTATTTTTTTACTTGAAATGAAATTTGATGAAAGATTGGACTACAAACAATTGCTTTATGTGAGAACCCCAGGCTTGGTCTGGGGTCTCGTGTGGTGGTAAAGTCTCTCCTCCAACCCGTGCTTCCAAAAAAAAAAATCCGCAGCCTCTTGTTGTTCGGTCTCAAGGCAGTTTATTGTTGGTTATCCAAAAGATTGTCTTCGCAGGCTGCGGCTGTTTGATCAGCAGCCCAGGCAGAGACACACACACACCCTGACATCCTCTCTGTCTGCTGTCTTCTTCTTCTCTCCCCCTGCCCAGGGCTGCTGCTATCTTTTATATGATATATTACGTATTATATGTTTACAGTTTTTCCCCAATACCTACTACCTACATTACAGAGTGCTTTTCTACTCTAAACCAATCCACAAGTGCCAGCATCACCAAGAACATGGAGGCAAGGAAGAAGGAGGAAGAACAGGATCAACCCACTTTCCTCCATCTTAGAACCTCTGACCCCCATGTACAAAGTAAAAACCCCCCTGTACAGGTGCTAAAACCCCCCTGTACAATACTAAAAAAATTTCCCCTCTGTTTTGTAACTACTTTTACTATACTATCTAACCCTTTGTGACTGCTTGCTCCACCTCTAAAGTTGGTAACTCATTCCATGGCTCAAACTCAAAATCACAGCTGTTTCCAGCTGCCTGCCAGGATCTAAAATGCTTCTGACCAAGGCCTGGAACCTCTAAAAATACCTAAGAGACATTTTGAGTTCCAACAGCTTTATACAGCTAGGGATATGCATTGTACCTGTTCACAAACAGGTACAGTCATTGTTACCTCAGAGAGGTTACTAGTCCAACAGGAATAGTCACCTTCAGTACTATGTAGGGATATTTTGCTCACATCTGTTGTTATGTGATTAAACAACAAGGCACACAGAGTATGCTAACACAGCCTCTAATTAGCAAGGGCAGAGAGAGCTCATGAACCAGGCAGATCATCCATCCACCAGCCTAGGTAACAGGAGATACTCTCCAGGCCAGTTTAGCAACTGCTAATGGGGTTACTGCCTGAAAGGGTGTAGGACTCACTGTGGGATCAAAGGTGGACTAGGGAGGAAGGAGAATGCAAAAAACAGAGAGATGGTAAGAGGTTCCAGTCACATTTGATGACTTCTGTTCTCCTGGGTGTGTCAGAGTGCCTGCAAGTGAGAGGATAGCCACAGATGCCAGGTGCCCACGAGCCTGTGGTGCCAGGGATTGGCGAGACGTGTGTGCACACCATGTGTGGGTGGGTGCATGCTGGTGCATGTAACCACCAGCAACCAAACCATCCTGCAAGCAGAGCAGGAGGCTGGGGAGCCAGGTGTCAGACAGGCCATAAGGCTGGGCCAGACTCTGCAGAGAACAGCGAGTCTGAGCTACTGAAAGAACCTCTCTTCACATAGCCACAAGGTCAGGGTCTGAGGGATAGCAACTGGAAGCACCACAAAGTCTGAGCTGGCCACCTGGGGTTTGAGGAGCAGCTAATGTTTAAAGCTATAGGTCAGGACCAGCTATCCATAAGACTCCCTCTCATGAGGCAATCCTGGGGCCTGCTGCCACAAGGCTAAGGCCAGTAACTGGAAAGATCCAGCACATTCACCTGTACATGTGTCTGCACATCCAAGAGGGTGTGAATACTAGAAACTGAATTGGGTCTGCAAGCCTCAAGGATTCACACACTCAGGTCAGCAACAGTGGAGGCCAGAGGATCAGAAGCCAGCTCCTGGATGGACCAAGTGTCTAAGGCCAGTTACAGGAGGAATCCACCTCACATACACTAATGTATTTATTTTTCATTAAAACCTTTCACCCTGATCAGTCAGAGAAGGGAACAGGATCAGGACACTTGTTTGTGGTTGTGCAAGCACTGTTACCTGTGAGCTGATCTCTGTGGCCAGTCATGTGTATGCACTAGGAGCTTATGATCCCATTGGAATAAATGTTCCGCTTTGCTACTGCCTGGACACCCAGGAACATGGAAATGCAGCAGCTTTGCCATCATTACACTACTGGGCTGGACAATTCCTAACATGTACCACTGTCAAAAATACAAAAAAGAAGAAATAGGAAGTTTCAAGAATCACTGGTGTCATAAACAATCATTCTCAGTGATCTGTTTGCCAATTCAAAGCATCTCTTCCTTAAGCATCCAGCCATTTCTTAAGTCTATCAGTTAATCTAGCTTCAACAACCCTTGGTAGCAGAAATTTTAGTACTGCAGACATAGATAAAGTGTCTATACTATGACCTGAAAACTTTTCAGAATGAAAGGACAATTTCAAATTAGTGTGCAAAATACATAGCAGTGCATAAGTTGCAGTCATGAAGACTGAGGCCCTGTGCTCAGGCAAGTCAAGTTTTAACCATAAGAAATCCCTCAACAATCAGTGGTAACCTTTCGTTAATGAAGTTCATGTTTATCAGAAATACTTTTCAATCCATGTGGCATATTTGTAGTACTGTAACTCCACAGCAAACTTAGCAGAATGTCCAAATGGTGAAGGGTGCAGCCCTGATGACTACATTCCTGTCATAATTCCTTTCATTAACAACCTAAGTTTTATCAAGTGCATGAACCAACCAATAGACAGACTTATGTCTCTCATACAGCACAGTCCACAAGTGCAGCAGAACAGGAAGGATGCATTTCGTTCCTGCTCCGAATCACACAGAAGTAAGAAACTGGGATGATAACTGCTTAATTCAACTCCAAAATGCATTAAGAATTTCTAATTCTCCTCAACAGCTTTTCTGAACATTTGCAGCAATACCACAGATTTGTTATGATGTATTTTGTCATAGCAGCAATGGCTTTATTAGATAGGAGACAGTCAATGCAATGCTACATGTCTGTCACCTCAACTTTTTAACTGGAAAAATCTTGATAACATTTCATTGCTTCACAACATTCCTATTCAAAATAATATTTGCTGGTCAAATGCTTGTAAAATCCAGCAGAGTTTTTAAATGAAGTTTCAACTTGAAATAATTGAATATTTCATCCTTTTAAGTTTACCTCATATTTTGAAGTTCTTTGGCAGGTTCTGGACCAATTTCTTAAAATAAGAATAGCTGAGAAGCAAACTGGTGAAACTGCTGGTTAAGCTCTGATACCAATGAAAACAGCTGTGTACAGGCCAAGGAAAGAACCAGCTACCTGTTATAACCATGCCCCTCTGCTAAGCTTGTGGATATACTTTCTACCCTTTTCCATGGACCATAGTCCACTTAGCTCTCCCTCTGCCAGAACAGTTAGAGAGCAAGAGACTGGTACAATCAAACATCAGTGCCACACATAGCAGAATGGTATGGCTGGCAGCACAAAAACCCTACACTACAGTGTAAGGGAAACATGTTCCGTTTTAATAGGGTTAAATTCACTGACCTCACTAAACTGAAAGAACTGGACAACAGACTGATTCCTTCTGTGTATATCAAAATTCTATTAGAATAGCACTTCTTTGGACCTGAATAGAAAGATGAACATTATCTGCCTAACTGAAATGGCAATACTGACAAAATACTACCTACAAAAGAGTCAACAGGTCCTCCCAGTTTTGTATCATCTGCAAACTTGCTTAGTACCCCTTCCAGTCCTGTGTCCAAGGCATTTATGAAGATGTTTAGCTATTAAATTCTTCAGCTGTTTATATCAAGTGTTCTTCAGCTGTTTATATCAAGTCTCAAGATACAAACCTTCAGTCTCCAGTCCTCTTGTTCCTCAGGCATAGAGTAGCAAACAACTCCTTACCAAAGAGATTACCCAATAAATTCCTGTGAATTACTACGTTTACTGAAGGATCCTGCCTCAACCTGTAATTCTATTTTCAATATGGTACTTCCTTTTAAGTTATTTTCTTCTTAAACATGTCCCCACCATTGCTAAATTCTCCAAGGTGTAGTATTCCAAAGCCTTATTTGATGCTTGAAGTTTTCATGTTTGCATGTTTCCAAAAACTAACAGAAAAGTCAATGTCTCCCTCCCCTATCCCAGAGCATGATCAAGCTCTTTCTGCCCACCAAAGTAGACTATCCAGGCAAAGAAAACACTTCTTGGCTAAAGAACACAGAAAAACACTGCTGAGAAAAAAACAAAACAAAAAAAACAATGCCTTAGGATGACAGTTATATTTGCTTTGCTGAACTGTATTTTAAAGCTATCAGTGAACACAGCTGAAGCAACCCATTTATGAAAGTTACTATTAATGCATACAAAATGTTAAACTTCAAGGATTAGATGGTGATCTAAATACAATTTACTCTGTAAGGTTATGCACCCTTCAGTATATTACATGATCACCAGACAGTCAGAAAGTGGCATAAAACAGATACATGGCCATAGTGCTCAGTCTCTACTGGAGAAGTAGCTGATGTACAAAAACTGAAAAACACCAATACATTCAACAATATGTTTGTGTCACTTACAATAGGAAATGTACTGCAGTTTAACAGTCAAGAATAATTTACAAATGCATCAAAAGGAACATTCAATGGAATATTTTTTAACTGCCACAGGACAGAGCTTTTCCTTAAACAAAAGCCTTTTCTCTTTTCTGAGAGTGTGACTCACAAAAAAGTTTTGCACATGCACTTTTTGCACAAACAGCATGTTTCAATAACTTATAACACGGGATGTTTCCTGAGCCTTCAGCTTGCCAACAATTTATAGGTAAAGAATTCCCATACAGGTGACAACACACACTGGTTTTGCAAGGACATATACCCCCAAAAAACTGTATACAGTGGAATGTTTTGTGACACTTGAGACCTTTAGAAAAGAACTTTGTTAGTAAAACTTTTCTATTTGACAACACGGTGCCCCATGATTTCTATCTCATCTGATATAATGGCAGCAAGAAGCTTCTTGCACCTTCCTGAGGTTCTTCTCCACTCATATATTTAATTTAAAAACTACACTTTCAGTACAAATACTAGAACAGTATAACTTTTAAAATAAACTTGGTTCTTCTTTTGCTTACTAGCAGTATGATGCAGCTTGAATTCATTTCAGTGTTCAATAGTATAAATAATTTATTTACATTATCTTCTACCCAACAATACTTTGCTTCATTTAAACTGCATCTTTTTAGTAAAACAAATATCATACATATGGTTTTTTTCACCATATTGTTACTTAGAACTAGGAGATTTCAACCACTCAGAAGTTCTTCCTCACAAACTAGAAGTGAGGCATAATTATCCTTGCATTTTTTTCATGTTAAAATCTGTATTAACTTGAACTAACACAAAAACACAGGGAAAAAAAATTATTTTAAGCAGTTACACCAGTCGAAAGCTGGGTTTCACATTTCAGCTGACTCCACCCCTAGTAACTCAGAATGCCTTTTCATGGTATTCCAAGATTATTAAATCAGAGTTTGTCATCTTGCCATCCTCCGTAAATCCTTTACAACTGCATCGACACTTTCATAATTACATGATGAGGCAATACAGAGCGCTGAGTTGGCAAAAAACTAGGTAGTTTTCAAGCAGGTCACCATATCAGATCAACTCACTCGTGTGCTCAGAGGAGCACAAGCAGTACAAGGCCTGGGGGGTACCGGAGCTTGTGCAGCACTGGGAAGCAGTGACCATCGCCAAACCAATAAACTGAGTTTGCTTCAAACTGCTGTGGAATTTCAGCAGAAGTAGAGCTACAGTCTCCCAGAATGGCCTGGTCCGAATTTTCCCTCTATTTTCAGTAACAGATTTCTCATCACTCCTTTTTTCCTGACTCCGGCAGCCGCAGGTGAACAGGATTACGAAACTATAATCTAAAGGAAAACTAATAATTTCCATTCCATAATCTCACTCAGCACTTGGCCACATTAAAGTTTCTGCTGACAGAGTGCAACAGAACTATGCAGAGCGTGAGCTGCTCGGGTACGCACTCCTTTAATTACAGAACTAAACTCACTGGTCGCTGTGGGGAGACTGGCTGTATTAAGGTATCGCGTAACAAACAGATTTGCTTCACTGAAGTTATATTTGATACCCATAAAGTTACTAAGTTTCAGACCTGAAGGAGAAACGTAAAACTTTCTCCTTCTGCAGGAAGGAAACTCAACCCTCGTCGCTTCACCCGCCCTGTCCCACCAAGCAGCAGCTAGGGACGGGCTCAACGCCGCGGGGACGCACACGGGGCGGTCTCGGTCGCCGACAACGCCACTCCTGGAAGTTTTCCCCGCTTGTTTAAGGCTTCCCGCAGCGCCGTTCTCCAGCACCCGGCCCGCGGAGGCCGCAGGGAGCGCACAGACCCCGCGCCCGCTGCCCCGAAAGCGCCGCCAGGCCTCGGCCCCGCGCAGCCGGGGGCGCCCGCGGCGCGCTCCGCCCGCGGCCGGCACGGGAGCGGCGCTCCGCGCCTCCCGGCCCTCCCCGCAGGAATGCGGCAACTGCCCCCGGCCCCGGCCCCGGCCCCCGCGCCGCGTACCTGCCGGTCCCCGCCTCGCCTCGGCCCGCTCTCCCTGCCTGCTGCCGGGCGCCGGGCGTGGCGGGCTCTCGGGCCTGCCTCTCGCGGCCGCCGCCAGGCTCCTGCTCCAGGGAGAGGGCCAGCTGGCTGAGGCCGTACAGCAGCGAGCAGACGGCGCAGCCCAGGCACAGCAGCGCCACCCGCGCCAAGCGCCGCATCCTCCCGGCCGGCGCCGGCACCGCCGGGCGGGCCGCGGCTCCGGCGGCAGCTCGGCGGCGGCGGCGGCAGCACGGCGGCGGCGGCAGCGGCGCGGTGCCCGGCGCGGTCCCGGCGTGCGAGGGGCGGGGCGGGGCGGCCGGGGGCGGGACCGGGCCGGGCGGGCCGCAGGGCGGGGCCGTAGTGGCGCTCACTGTTTATTTGCCCCAAAAGTGAGAAAAGCCGCCCCCCCCCCCTCTGTCGCGGCCCTGTGCTCTCCCGGTCTCGCCCCCATTCAGGCCTCCCGAATGTGGGACCCTGCCCGGTCTCGCCCCCATTCAGGCCTCCCGAATGTGGGACCCTGGGAGTAAGTCGAGCGACGAAGTACCCGAAGTAGAGACGGTGGCAGCCCCGGTCTGCTCCGCACTGGTGCGGCCTCACCTTGAATCCGTCTCAAAATAAGAAGGATGTAAAGGTGTTAGAGAGTGCGTGTCTCCATTAAGGGCGAAAGCGGGACTAAAGCTCCCTCAAAATGACACTCCATTCTTGCTCTCAGTGTTTCTGTTGCACTTTTCCCCTGTGAAAGCTTCACAGCTGCTTCTGAACAAGGATATTCTATACGTGTAAATACCTAACGGAAGGGTGCCAAGAAGATGTAGACAAACTCTTCTTGGTGATGCCAAGCAGTAGGGCAAGAGACAATGGGACAAACTGGTACACAGGAAGTTCCACCTGAATATGAGGAAGAACTTTTTTTTACTGTGCAGGAGACTGAGCACTGGAACAGATTTCCAGAGAGACTGTAGAGTCTCCCTCACTGGAGATATTCCAGAACTATATGGACACAGTCCTATGCAATGTATTACAGGAGGACCCTCTGGTCCAGGGAGGCTGTACCCATTGTGGTCCCTTCCAACCTTTACCCATTTTGTTATATGCCCACTTATTCCTTAGACAGCTGAAGTAACACAGATGTCCTTTTTCCTTATACAGACACAGCCTGAGCATGCAAATCACTTTGGACTCCAGGGACCTTCCCTTTGCTGGCCTTGGCACACAGGTGACTGCATGGAACCCTGGCCAGAGAAACAGGTGGGTGCTGCTGGGCCAGAGAAGCTTGGAGAACTAAGCCTGAAGGATTTGTTTGCAGTCACTAGCAAAGATAGGGGTATTTTAGCTCACCAAGTCATGCTTCTGGACAACAAAATGTAGGTCTGTGAAGTGACAGAAGAAGTAATAGCTGTACATCTTGCAAGATGGGGGAAATATTGGTTGGGTTTCAGCTAAATCCAACACAGTAGTGCATCCTCTCTCTCTAGCCCAGACCACTGAGCAAAGGCCTAACATTTTAACTAACCTATACTATTGCCAAGGTAAGTATTTTAGTCATTATTCAGTGCTGATCACTCAGCTTCTGACATTGCTTTAAAAAAAAAAAATACAAGTTTGAAATAATTTTGCTTATTTCTTTGCCCTTAACAGTGCATTTGGCTCACATTTTTTCTGTGGACTAGAAACATCCTTTTTTAAAACAAGTTATAATATCCCCATTCAGGACCCTCCATTTTAAGAAAAATGCCAACATAATTTCCAATAAACCATTAAAATATAGTTCTATTATAGCTTTTGTGGTCTAAGGATGTATGTTATATGTGAATGCCCATAAAACCTGAGTCATAGCTTACTGCTGTTCTTGGCTGTGCTTGAAAGAAAGGGAAAGTAAGATGCCAGCTGGCGACTCTGGAAGAGAAGTAATGCCAAAATTGTTCATCACTTCTTCCTCAAAATAAAAAAGAAATGAGGAGAAAAGGTGGCCCTCAGAAAATATGAGCTACTCAACTCTGTTTGCAGTGGAGATACTGGGATGATTATTAAAAGGTACAAGCAGGGAAATTGAGGTTGAGAAAAAAAACCCTAAACACAGAATTCAAGAGGAATAAGGAACTAGGAAGGATTAAGAGAAATCAGGGCCAAAGATAGCAATGTGGTGATGGGAGAGGCATAAATGAAATGGCAGAGGATTTGTAAAAAGAACTCTGGAAAGAAGTTACTGGTTTGCATTGCAGGAAGAACTAGCTCTGTAAGCACCACTCAAGGTCTTAGCTGGACTTTCTGCCCCTGTATTCTGTATTTCTTAGTGCTTTCTGCCACAGCCTGCCATTCAGCTTTCCTGATTTTGTGTTTGTGCTCAAGATCAGGTTCATTGCTCTCATTGCACCTGCTGACCTGTGTCATGAATTCTTGCACTCTCCCACTTCACAGCCTTTTACACACACTGTCAAGTCTATATGGCAGGGCATGAGTAACACAGAGACATGAGAGTCAGAATAGACAGATATAATGGAGTATTACTGACAGCAAGCTTAAAAGAAGAGACCACTTATTTCCTGCTGAGGTGTGACACTTGTCTTTTATATGGAAGAGTGTTCCAGCCAAGGAAAATGAGGTCTGAAGAGTGTTATAGTGGCACCAAGAATAAATGTGACAGATGGGTAGTACTCATGGTGTCATGCTTCAGAAAAAGAAATTATATTTTTAGAGGGGAAAAGAATAAATAAGGAGTGCTAAAGAGAGGTAACAGAGGAAGAATTTTTTTTATTATTATTATCAACCATGTCATTACCCAAGTATGAAGTTAAGGACTTCTCTTCATTCAGTGCTGTTCAATAATATGTGAAAAATTAATGAATTATATCTGAATATATCTGCAGTGTTCTAGGAATATAACTAAGGCAAGGTCAGAGAGAAAGCATCTTTGTTAAGTCCTCTGTTGCTATTGGGGAGAAAAAAACAGCTAAACCTACACACACACACACACAAGGCTTTTTTTCAGACTGTAAAATCTGTCCATTTAATCTATCAGTTCTTCTGATGAAAGATAAAATGCTTCTTAATACAAACTTGGCCTTATGAACAAGGAAAATAAGAAAATGTTACTGAAATGCCATACCTGAATTGTATCATTGAGGAAAAAAACATTATCAGATGGTATATAATTACCGATTTAAGTTTATAAATTCTTTCGATTAATAATTATATATCTTTATTACTTACCATGAATAGTTTATGAACAATATGTAACAATTAATGCTACAAGGTCTGCTAGTCTTTAATAGGAAGAGTTACAATCAGATGCAAGATTCTTTCCTTTTATTAATGATTCAAAATCTTTAATCCTTTTCTTGACTAGAATTTAGTTATTTAGCCATGTATCTTTTGTATCTTTAGTATTCAATTCTATTTGCTACCTCCAGAAAACAGCTCAAATCCAAGAACTACAGGTGACAATTAATTTTTCTAAAGAACCAGTATCTGATATTTCTGCAAGTGTGTTCATAAGGGTCATAAGAGCGGTCACTGTGAGCCAGAAAAGGAAACCAACATTCTAACAACTCATTAGATAAAGAAATAAATCAGATCAACTTAAATTAAAAAAAAACAGTCCTAATAATTTATATCATTCCCCCTGATTTTGTTCTTTCACAAAATTAAACCATTATTTAAGTTGGTAAAGCAATAAGGTTTCGTGCTGATAGATTTGTGTCAACACTGCCCTGTATGCAGACCAGTTAAGGGTTTTTCAAAGGCAAAGGCACTTTCTTTGATGTTCACATGCCCTTTCATACAAGCTGCAGTGTCAGCACTTGGCTGTGACAGATTGCAAGGTTGGGTAAGTAGGAAGAAACTGCTTTGCTGCCATGTGTTGTACATATGGTATCATCAGACTTCTTAGGGCAATGACTCTTTTCTTTTGCTGCCATAAATCACTTTTTTCCCTGCCTATTAACTTTTAAGAAGTTCCACTCGTACTGCATCTACCCCTTCAAATTTCCTAATGTATAAAAACGTTAACAAAAATTCTCAAAATCAATTTTCATTGACAACCAAAATATTACCTTCCCCCATTCTGTTCCTATCTAATTCTCATTGTTGAGCATTGTAGTGTGTCTAATCTACTTCAAGCAGGAGCTTAAAATATTTTTCAGTTATTGTTGATAATCACAGTTAACACCCAAGGACAATAGAAATAGGAAAAACATCTACAACAACAGTGCACAAAATTAAGTAAGCTGCTTTGTAAACTGTTTAGGAAGTGGTGTGATACTTTGAAAATTTCCTAATTTTTTCTAATTTGAATTAATTATTTGTTTATCAATAGTACACTTCAAAATTTAATAGATTCTCTGTAAGTTATTAAACATTAGTAAAAATATTTGTATCATTCCTCTTAAGAAATTCAAATTTCATGCTCTAAATCAATAAGCATCTGTATATATAGGCTTGCACACTATTTTGTAGTTTACTACATTAAAAACGCAGAATGAATACTTTCTAGGAGCACAAATTTTCTTTTTATTTTTTTTTCAATGTTTTTGTGTCAAGTGCTTTTTTTTCTGAAAAGATTTCTACATTTGGAGCTCCCAAACATCAGTCCAGAAGGGATTCACAGTGTTAGACTTTTATTTCTTTTTACATCTATTTAGATGATGCATCTATTTGCATCATCTAAAACTTTCCAAAGACCATACCTGGCATGGGTATAATAAAGAGGAGATAGGTGACAGCCGATATGGCTTTACTAAGGGCAAATTGTGCCTGACAAATTTGGTGACCTGCAGTGGACTTAGAATGTTGATGGATGCAGAGATGCCATATACCTGCAAAATACTTGTGCAAAACATTTGAAACATCTCATGTGATATCCTTGTCTCTAAACCAGAGGCTGACGAGAAGCTCAATGTGTGCTCACAGCCCAGAAAGCCAAACGGGTCCTGAGCTGCATGAAAGCAGCATGGCCAGCAGAGCGAGGGAGGGGATTCTGCCCCTCTGCTCCACTCTCATTAGACCCCACCTGTAGTACAACATCCAGCTCTGGTATCCCCAGCATAAGGAGGACATGGACCTGCTGACAGAGTCTAGAGGAGGGCCATAAAGATGACCTGAGGGCTGGAGGATCTCTCCTGTGAAGACAGGCTAAGAGAGCTGGGCTTGTTCAGCTGGGAGAAAAGAAGGCTCTGGGGAGACCTAATTGCTGCCAGTACCTAAAGGGGCCAAAAAGAGCTGGAGAAGGACTCCTTATGCATGCAATTGGTAAGACAAGGGGGAATGGCCTTAATCTGAAAGAAAGTAGGTTAGGTTAGATATAAGAAAGAAAAATTTCGCTAACAAGATGCAGAACACCAGAACAAGTTGCACAGAGAATCTGTGAATGCCCCATCCCTTAAAGTTTTCAAAGCCAGGTTGGATGGGGCTTTGAGCAACCTGGTCTAGAGGAAGGTGTCACTGCCTATGGCAGGGGGATTGGAACTAATGACCTTTAAGGTCCCTTCCAACCCAAACCATTCTGTGATTCTATGATTTGTGTTTAAAGTACTTTTGCAAAGAGTCAAAGCAAATGTACGTACTCATGCGAATACATACCATATACAATAAATACAGAAATATGGCATGAAGGGCTGGTGTTTACTTATTTGTTTATTTATACATAACTATACTTAAGTTTAAAAGTCCTTATTGTGTCCTGATGTTGTTTGCTACAGAATCGGGTGTTTTGAGTCCCGATACCCAGATCAGGGTTTTTAAATTTCTATAATATATTTTATCTCTAATAGAAAAAATACTTACTAGCAGTAACCACGCACAACAGTAACTTTGCATTATGCCTTGAAAGTTCATTTTTTAAGATGAAATGTATCAAATAATCTGAAAGCAGCTAAGGTATTTTTTTACCTTTTCCATTTCACAGTAACAGTGCAGATTCCACACAGTGAATTTATACTATTTGTATTAAGTATGTTATCCTATTCACCTTTTTTATGATCTTTAAAATGAATGCATTCACCCAGTAAATAATCAGACCATAAACAAAAAAAATACTCCTTTTATTTTAGGGGTGGGATTTTTTTCATATTTGATGTAAAAATTTTATACATTTTATTATTATTTCAAATCAAAAAAAGGCTGCATGTCTTGGAAAGCAAAACTATATCTAGCAAACAGCTAAAATGAAAAAAAATATTAGACAACTGCCAGCTGTCCTTGTAAGTGGAAACAGAGGTATAGAAGAGTTGTGAAGTCTCTGAGAGCCATTTAGCAATGCAAGCCAGATGATACACTGCAGCCAGTAGCTGCTATTCTGAATGAAAAAGACAACAGATTTATTTACCATTTCAGTAAAGAGGTGTTTTGGAAAGTGGTCCATCAGTCAAACCAGCTAAAGCATTGACTGACTTTGCCAATTTATTTACCTTTTTATTTTGTTCATCTGTACCCTGGTTTTACTCCCCCTTCAAGTAGACTTTTACATGTAAACCATGTAGAGACAATGTCAGAGATAGAGAAATTCCTACTGTGTCTCTCTCTACATCTTTTTCTCTAAGGGTTGCTCAACTTTCATAAATACAAATTCAAAACCATGACTGCTTCAAAAGCAGTCAAATGTGGTAGTTTAAAGCACTTAGTACTTGAATTATCAGGAAGAGATAAGACACTAATATTGCCCTTTTTACTGACTCCTTCTTTTAACACTGTGGTCAGCTGGGGTCACAAACAAGTGCCTAAGGTACCCAGCACTCTCACACTTGTTGACAGCCTTGGCCATGTCCGAAGCACACACAAATAACTACTGTGAGGAGGCAGCCTGCCCTGTGCTGCCCTGGAGTAGTGCAGCCATTACACTGGGATATTGTGTAGCGCTGAACTTTGAGCCTGAAACACCCAAAATAATTTGAAGTTCTGCTAACTCAGGATGGTACGTATGCATAACTCAGCCTTCCTTTGCCTATCTTCAATCTGTAACTTTACAAATTAAGCTTTTACTCTTTTTTTTTTTTTTTCAGGACAAGAAAGGGTAAAAAAAAATTGGACACTGTCCTAACTATCTCCAGGCACCAGGCCCATATCTGCGGGGGAATGCTGTGATCTCCCATGGCTGCCAAAACATTTGTGTGGAATTTAAGAAATTTGTTTTCATCTTCAGACCCATAATTGTGTAGCAGTCTTGCTGAACAGTCAATAGCAGAAACAAATGAATAAAAGGGTGATAGAAGAGCTTAACAGTTTGCTCGCCTCTTTTGAATCCCTTCTGTTCTTGCAAAATAGATGAGTAAGCAAGACTAAATTAGACCCCTTTAATTAGTGACAATAGCCCTATTCTGGTATCTGATGCTAATTTAGTCAGGATTTCTGCTAGTACCAAATTTGGTATTTACGTCAACAGTTTCCCCACACTTGCTGCCTGCACTTGGAGATCTATGCCCAGTAATGACTGGGTGGCATTTAAAGCATTCTGCACCCAAGGAGGTACCAGCCTCACATGTTGCCTCCTTGGAGCAGGGATGAGGTCCTATACTCATGGCCAACACTTCAATTACCGGCTACACAAATGGGAATCTCCAACAGGCTTTACAAGAGAATCAGCTTCTTTCAAGAATGCCTTGGTAGGGCCTTTGCCTCATGCTGCAAAGCAACACAAATAACAAACAATTCAGAGAACTGAACATGGGAACTGTAGAATTGAAGAAAAATGGAGAGAACCCACACAGACCACTGTTTTATAACCTGCTTCAGTAGTGAAGTACTTTTTATGTACAATGAGATGAAGGCTTAGACAAAGCCCCCTTCTCAAATTTCTTACCTCATTGGTTACTTTAATTTGCAAGCCTGGATGATTTCATAGTTTCTTGCTTCAGAAGCAGTACTCCCAAGAATATCTCAACTTCCATCATAACCAAAAGCAGTAATGAATCATCTCTGCTCATAAATTAGCAGACGCTTCTTGGCATTTTGAGATCAAATTCACAAAGTCTGCTATTTATCCCCAAACTGCCCACTTGTATTTCTCGCACTTTCTCCTGGACAGTACAAATAGTACATTCAGAGAGGCGTTCTGAACAATTTAATAATTTTATTTACCATTCTATCATAACACACCCTAAGCACCACCAATGCCAGTCAAGATTGTAGTCCACTTACATTAGTTTTCACCAAAAATACTTCCTTAGATTGTTCGCAGGTAAGAAGTATTCATTTATTCCTGGGAAAGGCATTTCAATGTGTGTCACTATTCTAGGCCTCAAAAACATCTATTTATGCTCCTCTGAAACCAACAATATATCATCAATGTGAAATAACTGTAGGGATGTAAACTTTTCCATTCTATTATCATTAATTGTGTAACATTTATCATAGAAAAAAAAATAGTCTTTGAGCTGTGATTCCTTCTGTTTCTTTCCAGGCAACTCCCCTCAGCTTTCCTGCCAAGCTTTCAGAATCTTAAATTGTTTAATATAGTCTTTGAACTGAGGTCAGGAAGAGGTCAATTGGAGGAAGTATCCCAATGGGTTAATGTATGGTTGTCTTTAAAGGAGTACTATGATGGAATTGAAAATAGTTTATCAGACAGAAAATTTGAAGCACCTCATGATGCAAACTATACTTTCTAAGTGCTACACAGAGATCTTTTAAGTAGATCAATATACTGTGTTTTTCTTAGAGTTACCTTTAGATGTTTTAAATTAAATTTGTGTATATTAAAAAATTACAACCACACAAGATCTTTCATTCACAGAGATGTTTATTTTTGTCTTCAATGTTTGTAGGGAATACGATTTCACTACAAAAGTGTCTCAGAGAAACTCCATTCAAAGTCTAGGCTTAAGAATGAAGGGAAAATATACTTTCAGCTGTACCAGTCCTGAGCAAAGTTTAAAAAAAAAGTTTAAAAAAAATCCACTAGAGATAGGAAGCAGCACCAATTAAACCAGAGGGCCTCTTACTCATATCTGTTCATGCTTTCTTTTCTGCTTGAGAATTGGTAAAAACTTAGGTAGGAGAAATTATTTTATTAGAATGTGGACACAAGATTCACAGTCCCAATCTCTCACCAAATACTACCCCTTTTTTACAGTTAGAGTCCAGGGTCTCAGTTTTACTTTTCATTAGGCTGTCAGGACTGCTAACAGCAGTTGCCCCCATGGTGTAACATTTTCTCTTACTCAAATTGGTAAATAAATATTTATTTAATATACTTCTTCTAATAAATATTTATTTCCTATCAATATCAAGTTCCTGAAAAGTTACATTGTTCTTAGAAGTATACTACTCATAGCAGTTATAAAACTTCCGATAACATCAGGTCTGAAAACAATTCAAGTGGCTTACAATCTGTCTCTTGTTTCAGTGAAAGGATTTCAAGCCATTGGTAACACTTGGTACTTAATAGTTGGTTTATCCAGAACATTCAGATTCAATCTGTCAAAGTAAATACTTCTAAGAGTCAGAACAGAAAAGGCACTTACTCATTTTGGGGAAGACACCTGGCAGGTAAGATCTTTATTTTCAAAATAACAAGCCCTTTTTCTAATAATAAACCCCTTAAAAAACTAGTTGGATAAACATAATCCCTATGAGAAAAACCAACTTAGGTACCCCTTCCCAAGAAAGGTAATACTGTCCTTGACTGAGAAACAGAGAAATGTGAAAGCATCCAGAAATACTCACAAGTTTTATTCACTTCTGTGATATTCCAGTAGACCATCACAACTGGCTAGATGAAAAATCTCCTCCAAACAATGGATGTTTTACAAATTGAAAGCCGCAAAATTCTCTGGACTGTTCTTTATTAGCTACTCAGATCAGCAATAAAATATCAGATTCTAATGCGTATAACCAGGAACATAACCTTGGTTACAACTGACAACCTGTAACTTCAACCAGAGGAGTAAATCTTTTATCAGACTTCCTTGCAATTGAATCATTGCCTCAGTGATGCTCTGTGTAAGGCACTTAGTAAATTTTAAGAGTATCTGACAGTACTGTTGGTAGTTTTGATTTGTTTGTGAGGATGCTCTAACAACACTTCAAGATTAACAGGTTACGGTGTGGAATAATCACTGAAAACAGCCATATGAATTACTGGCCACAAAACTCTTCGGAAGCCACATCCATTCTAGTCTAGGTTCATATCACCCTTGCAACATAAAGCTATCCTTTTCTTAGCAGTCCAGGAATTAGACCCTTTAAAATTGTGTAGTAGCTAATTGTATGAGAGGAATTAATTTTATTCCTAACTTTTTCATCTACACTTTCAATAAATAACTTGTATGCAAGAGTGAAATATTCATGGTATTTACTATTTAATTCACAAAATCCTACATCTTTAGGCCAAATGTCATTCAACCAACAGCCATCAAGAATTACAAAGCAAGACATATCTCTAAGAAGAGTGTGTTGCCTACTTCCAATACAGTACACAGAGAAAGGAACACTAAACACACAAAAAAGACAAAGAAGCCATTACACGGCTCTTCAAGGGATTATTCTGAAAATACATTTTCTTTGTTCTTCCTTCCCCCCCTCCTTATTACTCTGTTTTTTTGTTGGACTGAGGGTTTTTGAAGGTGTTTGACATTTTAGAAACAGAAGCTTCCTACAGGAGTTTCTGTAGGAAAGCAAAGAAAGCACTCAGAATCTGTACACGCTCCTCAGATCTCCTTCTCCAGTGGGGACTAATAGCATTTTACTTGACAACATTTGCCTCCATCAGCTGGAAAGAATTCTGCTTATTTTGCCACATTTGGAAGCCCCCCAGCATAGAATAATACCATTTGCACAGATAATTGGCATCCCAGAATGCTAGGTCCCTCAGACTGCTTGAATGGTACAGAATCAGTGTAAGTATGCTCAGCAAGAAACTCTTTAGGTAGTCAATTATATAGAAACAAAGACAACAGTGACAACATTGAAACTGACCTCTAAGCTCCCACATACCATAATTTTGTATCACCATGCTGATCTTAAAACCAAAATATAGTTCAAGAACTGGGAACACCAGTCAAATTCCCCACTAAAACAGCAGGCATAAGAAGTTATTTCAAATTCACTGCATCTACTTAAGACTATAAACATACTTAAGAGAAATAAAAGGGAGAAGAAGATACCAGGAATCAGAATGTGTTTCCTTCAGAGGTGGGAGTAACGATAATACATGTAACCTGAAGAGATTTCCCTTGCCCAGATTAATTTATAGCTGAAGGCTGTTACAGAAAGAGATGATCAGTCAGATGCCAGACTTTCCTGCTCAGAGATCTGTGCCATCAGGAACCAGGCTTGACATTGAAGCATTTTTATTTATTCTGTGCAAAGAAGAATCAGCTTGAAATAATTATTCATGGAGGACAGCTATATATTAGATGCATATAAATGGAAAATTAGATCTCTATGTTCACAAAGTGAGTATTCAGAAAGTAGAACTGACCCCTCACTTGTCTTAACAGATGCGAAATGATCAAACAACTCCATCCTTCTTTAGTGACAAATACCTGGGACTATCTTTGAACCAAACAGAATTTACAGTTTGTAGACTCTAGTAATCTTGGAAAGAGGCTAATGAGCCACATTTCATTAGCCTGGGTTACATTAATTTCCTTTTTCTGCATCCTTTTGCTTCTTCATACAGAAGAGGAAAATTACATGCATGTGGTTAGTAAATTATCAAAAAATACATTAATAGTCTCCTTTCCTCAGGTATCTTCTCAGTAACTCCACTGTAAATTAGAGTTCCATTGGTCTACAGCTACATGTCTTAAAAGCTTGAGGAAGCACTTTCACTTTGCTTTGACCAAGATCAGTATTTATACACAGATGTGCTGGTTTTGGCTGGGATAGTTAATTTCTTCACAGTAGCTGGCATGGGGCTGTTTTAGATTAGTGCTGGAAACACTGTTGATAACACAGAGATAGTTCAGCTGTTGCTGAGCAGAGGTCACACAGAGTCAAGGCCTTTTCTACTTCTCCTACTTTCCCCACCAGTGAGAAGGCTGGGGGTGCACAAGGAATTGTGAGGGGACACAGCCA